GGCTCCGTCCCGCTCGGTCCCCGTCCTGAGGGCGCTCAGGCGCCTTTGGAGTCACCCTGGGAGCAGGGCCTCCGTCCTGGCCGGGCCGCAGCCCCGCCGCACCCGCTGCCTGGCCAGGAGCCCCGAGCGAGGCCCGGCCACCCGGTCCCGGCGCTGGGACCTGAGACGGGAGCGAGCGCCGGGTCACCCATCAGCTACAGAGCACGAATCCACAAGTTAAAGGGGACGGTGTTCTTTGTATTATTGTTGCAACTTTTCTGTAAGTTTGAAGTATTTCAAAATAGAGTTTAAAAATAAATTTGGTTGAGTTTCCTGTTGTGTTCCTGTAACGGAGTAGAAACAAACCAAGTTCCGCGGGGAAAAGAGGCATTTTAGCCGACAGATCCCTGCAGTCATTCCCATCCGCAGGAGAGCTCGGCGTTTGTTCGGAAAGTCCTCTGGCGGCTTGTGGGTGCGGCCCCCCCCCGGAATTTTGGGGGGGGGGGGGGGAGCCCCGGGGGCCTCCCCCCCCCCCCCCCCCCCGCGGGTCTCCTGGGGATGGACGGGGCTGGCAAGATGCTTGCTGCGGTCGCTCCCGCTTCCCTGGGCCCCTCAGGCCGGACTCATCGCGCTGCAAGTTTACTGTCCTTAAGGACTGACTCTGTCCGGTCATTAAAAGGAAAACCCGCAGCTTCCCCAGGCCCGGGAGACATAGAACAGTCACAGGCCCTGCAGCGCTCGCATCCAGCTGGAGCACACAGTCGCGCAACAAACACCAAGGGAAGACACTGCAGGCCGTGTAGCGCACCGTGACCGCCAAGGGGAGCCGGAAAGGGTGCAGTTAGAGCTGGGCGCGCAGGCCTCGCGCTGGGGGAGCTGCCATGGCGGGAGCGGGAGTCTGGCCGGAGCTGACTCCTGGTTACCTCCGGGGGCCTTGTGTGCGGCTTGGGGTTGTGAGGACTCATGAAGAGGTTGTGTGTGGAGTGCATGGGTCACCATCAGAAATGAGCACTGGTACCATAAGCAAGGGAACCACGGGGAAGGATGTTGGGGTTCCCCAGGCTAGTGCGAGGGCCGACAACCAGGCTCGGAGAACAGGAAGGAGGGGTAGGAGGCTCAGGAAGCCACCTCATGAGGCCCCTTGGAAGGGAGTGGGACCTAAAAGGAAATGCTCCTAAAGAAACGATTGCGAATCCAAAACCCCAGGCTCACCACGTGTTACACAACTGCAGCTCACTGCCCTCACAGCATTCACAGTGACAAAGGTGTCCTTACACATCAGAACTGAAAAGTAAATGAACACTGTACATGCTACTTAGCACTGTATCTGATTACAGCCACGTTTTCCTACCCTTGAGTACGTTCTGTTCAGAATCATTTGACAAAATTTCTGAAATTAAAAATGACAGTGACATTGTAGCCCTAGCTGGTTTGGTTCACTGGATAGAGCGTCGGCCTGCGAACTGAAGGGTCCCGGGTTCGATTCCGGTCAGGGGCACATGCCAGGGTTGCCGGCTCGATCCCCAGTAGGGGGCGTGCAGGAGGCAGCCGATCAATGATTCTCTCTCATCATTGATGTTTCTATCGCTCCCTTCTCTGAAATCAGTAGAAATATATTTTAAAAATGACAGTGTAGTACTCGCTTTGGCAGCACATATACTAAAAATTGGAACCACAGAGAAGAGTAGCATGGCCCCTGCGCAAGGATGACATGCAAATTCGTGAAGCATTCCATATTTTTTTAAAAAATGACAGTGCATCATGAAAGGTCTGTATGAACAGCTGTCACTGCTGTGCTCCCTCCTTCGTCCAGGAGAATGTGTAGAGGTGCACAGTCCCTGTGAGGGAGCTGGCTGTGCCTTTGGGGGCCCAGGCGATGGGAGTGTTATTCCTGGTGGATCCCCCAGATGACAGCTGATAACTTACGCTCACAAGGTGACTGGGAGGGGGGGCCCTGGAACCAGATCTCAGGGGCAGCCTGGAGCGAGTCCACCCCATGGGCAAAGCACCCGTCAGTGATGCCAAGCAGCGTGGGGGCTTTCCTGCTGGCAGTGCTCCGTGACCACCGTGGCCGGGAGTGGGCAGCACCATCGGACCGGGGCACCCAGACCTGGGGAGGACCGAGTGGTGCCCCTGGACTCACCGTGGCTGGGAGTGGGCAGCACCGTTGGACCGGGGCGCGCATACCTGGGGAGGACCGAGTGGTGCCCCTGGACTCACCGTGGCTGGGAGTGGGCAGCATCTGGCTGGTGGCTTCTCTGATGAACGGACTTCGGGTGACAGAGCTTCCAGGGAGTTCTGGTTTTCTAGTGAGTCGCCTCACCCGCTGAAACTTGGAGGACTTGGGAGAGCCGGAGCTGCTGTCCCCGGGCGCCCGCCCAGCGGGATCCAGCTCTGCTGTCGCTGTTTGCTTTCTGGAGGGGCATGCACCCTCCGGCCCTGAAGGAATGCGCGGTGAGAACAGACCGTTCTGATGGCCACTGCGTCACCATCTGACTGAATGGCAGTCGCTTCGATAAGATTTAGACTCCCAGGTGTATCTGCATGGCCCTGCGCTTCGTGAACTGTGGCATACAATACTTCTTTTTTCTAGGTGGACATTTCTTTTACTTAGTTTTTCAATACTTTCAACAAAAGAAATATTCCCATTCCCCCCCCCCCAAATTTAAATAAGTGCTTTTCATGAGCAGATACCAGAGAAAATTACACATTAAAAAAATACTGATATTCTTATTTTAGCGATGTTTTAAGATAAAGCATTTTGTACAAGGCTACTTCAGTGATAGCGGTGCAAAGAAAATCCTGTATGTTGCTTATCACTTGACCTCTATGCACTGAATTGATAGTCATGAAAGAAACAATTATATTCAAATTATGAAGAAGATCCGTACCAGTTACTGTAATGACCTAACCTTGATGCTAGCAGAGAGATAATTAATTTAAAACAAAACACTTTGCCAGGTAGGCTAGCATCACCATGCGAGGAGAAAAGTCCAGGCTCGGCTAAATGAGACCCAGTCTTTCAGGTTGAGCATGAGCTAGGCGAGGTCCCCTGTGGTGCCGGGAACCAGAGAGCCGGGGAAGGTGTGGGGTTGCTGTGGGCATAGAAAGGGGACACTCATGGGCCATGTCTGACACAGGGCAGCGGGGCGCCAGGGAACATAGGAAGACGTTTACATCGCTAATTATGAAAATAATCTACTTTCATAAACCTACTAAGTGGATAACCCGGTACCAAAAAAATGACAACGAAATTTGTCAATTTAAAAAAGCCATTTAACAAAAGACCATTTTATATATTTCTTTGAATTATGTCATAAAATTTAAACATACAAATTACATTCCCAAGCCCAAAAGAATCTTTCAAAACAAATACACAAATATAGACAAATTCAGAACCCAAATTATTTAAAAATGTTGTTTAAATCACAGTAAATGATATCTCATAAGAAATAAAGCGAAAGCATGACCGTTCCATCCGACGGTCCACGTCAGAGGAGCTCAATGCCTGAGGACTGGGTGATTCTTTAAGTCGGTTCTGCCCCCCGTGCCGGTGCAGGGCACCCACCCTAACAGCCTGCAGTTCCGCCAGGCTGCCCACCAGTGTGTGTGCAGTACTCCCACCTAACAGCCTGCTGGGTGATGGGTTCATGAGCAAATGCTGAAACAGCCAGCACAGTGGATTACAGTTATTCTTACAACATCCTACTGTTGCCTACCTGTCCAAAGCTGTGAATTACAGTCATAGCCTCCAGGGAGCAAAGTCAGGTGTTTTGGTAAAGCAAGGCACACAGGACCCGGTTTGGATGAAGGCGCTTTTTCTTTGGTCCTACAAGGACTTAAATATGCTACATCTCCTACAGACTGTTCACGTGACTTCCCACAGAGCGAGCTAACTTCTGTAACCTGCCCTGACATACAGCATGCATCCCCATGTGGTCACAGATGGTAACGATGGAAGTGTGAATAAAATGAGCAATGCGAGACCCTGCTTTTATAAGGAACTCAGTTGAATGACTACAGGATGCATTTTAAAGTCTAATAATTTGGTAGCAGGAAAAGTGTGCCGCTTCTTAACAATAGTCAGCATTAACCATGTCTACTGAGCACAAAGGTAGTTTCCTTTCAGTTTGTCTCCTTACAATCTAGTTTACATATCAAACTACCCCTCCTTCTATGAAACGTGACCTTCAATATAAACGGATGTAAACATGTAAATTCTGCATCTATACTACGTGTTCCTCCATCAAACAGCCTACAGCACCACGTCACTTCTTCCAGGACTGATCCCATCCGGGTGACGAAACATCCTCACGTGGCAGCTCAGACTTTCATTCCCAAACACCATGTTCTTCATTTCTAATAGAACTATCAACTGGCACTTTTCTCCCATGAATTAGCATATTTTTTATAATGAACGAAGTAGTGGAGAGAGAAGTAATGGAGAAGTAAATAACATTTAGCAAAGTCCATTAGAGCGACTTTTTACAGGAAACTTTAAAAATATATTAAGTATGATGAAAAACATAAAGTAAAATAATTCTACTCCCTGGTAATCCAGGCGTCAATAAATAAACCCACATTCCAACTTCTGAAGTATTTTGCCCACCAAGTCCTCTTCCCTCTTCTGCTAGCCTCTCCCTGTGCCCCCGGTAAATAACTCATCCAATTTGCCACTTCACCTGCGGTGCCGAGCAACGGGGAGCCAGCGCCTCCCACCTTCCACCTTCCACCTCCCGCCCCGGGGACTCAGAGCCCCTGGGCGGGGTGTGAGCGCCTGGGAAGCGCTGAGTGGCCCTGGGTGTCAGTCAGAGCGCCATTCATATGAGGTGATACCGTGGCAACCTGGAATGTCTCCAAGGAAAATCGTTTTGGTCTCAATTCCTTGATGTCAGTCCTACTTTGGTGGTTGTTTTTGTCAACAGTTGTAGACTTTACAGGTCAATGAGTAAAATACTCATTAAAAACATTCTAATGTGTACAGTTCATGCTGTGATAGTTCAAAACTCTCCAAATGGAGATATTAGACAAGAATTATTTTATTGTAAGTTAATAAATGAGTTTTTAATCCCTTTAAATTACGCATTAAAACTTTAATGGAACACACAGGAATAATTTAAAGCACCACTAAAGACGATGTGATTTACAGAAAAGAAGCAGGTAGGGGCAGGACAGCTCCGCTAGCGCCCAAGTGCCCAGTGCCACCCGCACGGAGCGGGGATGCTTTTGAGGCGCTGAGAGACCTGACGGGCAGATGGAGAAATGTGTGTTTCTCTACGTGGAATGTGAACGTGGACTCTGCATTTCATTCTCTGACAAGCCAGACCCAGAATGGTACTCCACCAGTTTTTATGTAGTTGAATAACATTTAGCAATCTTTTGTTTACCAATCTTTTGTATAAATATAGAAATCTCGGGTACGTGAAAATGTTTCTCAGGCCATACTTCTGTTTCTGCACAGCTTTATAGGCAACAATCCTAACCGTCAAACTCTGACTATGCCATTGGCTTGCTGACCTGCACGGAGGGTGAGACAGACACCGAAGAGAAGGACGTAGCTCGTCTGCAGACATGACCGCTGACACCTGCTGCGTGCGCTCTTGCAGCGCGTGCACAGGTCATCCCTGCGGCGGTCCAAATGGCCAGATCCCCCAAACGCACATCTCCCGTCCCTGCAGTGATTCTAATCCCGGCAATACCTCAAGCTTGGATTTCTAGAGGCGACAGGCCTGCTGTCACATAGACAGAGACTTGAGCTGCACATTCATGTTTTCAACCATCTGGACAGTGTGAAGAGCGGCGACACCTCCCTGGGCTCTGAGCAGTCCTGCGGGTTCCCGCCGAGCCCTGCGAGCAGCGCCCCCTATGCTTTGGTGGGGTTGCCTGCAGGCTTGGGGTCGTAGCCGTATAGGAAAGTAGCTGCTATTACAAGGATGGCTCCCAGGAAGAAGACACTACACAAGAGAAAAGGAAAAAGGCAAAATCAGACTAAAAGCAAACACGTTCCTTCTCTTCTCTACTCTAACAAGTGGTGGGAAATGTTGCCGTAACAGGCGAACCGAGCCTGTGTTTACTACACCCAGCTGCCCAGCTAGTGTCCACATGTCCTCTCAGTTCTCACAACCACCGCGAGGACGTGGTGGCATCGTTCTCCTTTTTAATCCGAGAAGAACTGAAGGCAGCGAGTTCAAGTAACTGGTTCTCAGTCCACCACTCCCCTTGACGCGTCTGGCTCCAGCTCCCTCCTCCTCCTCCTCACTGTCCCCCAAAGCAAAGATGTCTAACTGTATTTCATTTTAATGTGCCTTGTGCCTGCAATACATTGAATAAGACCTCAATTGTTTTAAGATTGAAACTGTAAAGGGAAATCTACACTCTTCAAACCAAAGTAAATTTCAGTTTAAAATCCACGGCAGTAATCAGCAAACTCAGGACCAATTTTCCAGGGTGCTTTTTCAAAGAGTAAGACTAAATGCAGGGAGACTTGGTTTCTTTTTATTTTATCCATAAATATGAGCCCTTTCTATGACCTGGAAATGACCTTAAACTGGACGTAAACTAGAATACCAACCCTAACTTTTGACATGTATATTCTTCAAGAGAATGAAAGCTTCAAACCTTTTAAAATGTCATTTTTTGGCTTATTTTATGACTTTATAAGGCCAATGAACTTTTAAATATGACTTTTACATGACTTTTTCTTTGGGAGAAAAAACCCATTCAGATCCACTGGGAAACTCCTGGACAGCCAAATTTGTATAAAAACTTTTCCAGTGGAAGGTACTGTCGTGCACATAATTTAAAACCTTTTTAAAAAGATAGCTAAAAGGAACCCTCATTACATTTCCATGATTCTTCAAAAGTTGTAATAGAACAGCATTTTTCAGACTAGATCTTAAGAGAAATCCTGACTTTCCTATACCCTTTTGGAGATTTAAAGAAAAGATGTTACCTGGTTGGCACAAAATCTTGTAGCCAAAAGTAGGATATCAGTGTCGATAATATTATGGATAAAGAGGTTGCAAATCCTTTTAAAATATTATCTGCATACTTTATAACAGCCGCTATGACAAGGCCGCCCAGTGCCTGCAGAAGTGTTAAAAGATTATTTTTAAAAACAAGCATCTATAAAACTGCCTTTCAAAACAATGTCATTACTCAATGCAGCTTTAAGCTTTTGTCCTACAATTTATTCCCATTTAGTAAGTAATTTTCATTAAGCACCTCTTCTAACCAGTGGCCTCCACGGTTTTATTCTGTAGCCTCTATTTCCAAAGCTGCCTGGTAAAGTGACCCCCAGTGTGACCCGCAGTGTGACCCGCAGTGTGACCCGCAGTGTGATCCGCAGTGTGACCCGCAGTGTGACCAGCAGCGTGACCCCCAGTGTGACCAGCAGCGTGACCCCCAGTGTAACCCGCAGTGTGACCCCCAGTGTGACCAGCAGTGTGACCCGCAGTGTGACCCGCAGTGTGCCCCGCAGTGTGCCCCGCAGTGTGCCCCGCAGTGTGACCCGCAGTGTGCCCCGCAGTGTGACCAGCAGTGTGCCCCGCAGTGTGACCCGCAGTGTGACCCCCAGTGTGACCCGCAGTGTGACCCCCAGGGTGACCCGCAGCGTGACCCCCAGGGTGACCTGCAGCATGACCCCCAGTGTGACCCCAGTGTTACCCCCAGTGTGCCCCGCAGGGTGACCTGCCGTGTACCCCGCAGGGTGCCCCGCAGGGTGTTGTGATGGGTTTGATCCGAGTACAAGTGAAATACCTCCCCTCACCAAGTGAGTATGAGCATCGCGTTCAGACAGGTGTGAGGGCCGGTTCCCAGCTGGCGAGGTGTTTCTTTTGAATAAGAATGCGGGTCACCTGAGCGTTAGCTTGGCCAGCCTTTCCTGGCTTCCTAACTTCACTTCCTCCCCCGTTCCTCCCCATCCAACCCCCATCTCATTGTTCTCACTTTCCCTAAAGCAGTTTTATCGGTGCTCTTTCCTTAGGAGCAGAGAGAACTTCCTACCAAACCCCTCAGGTGCCCACTGCGGTTAGTGAATGGGGGGATGGCCACCCCGCCGTCTCCTTCCTGCCGCCCGCTCTGGACCCCTTCCCCTTGCCTCTCGCCTGGGGGAGGGGCAGAGCCTGAGGGAGGAAGTGGGCAGAGGCCCCCGAGTCACTGCAGGGATGTCCGAGTCCCGTCCCCCAGTGCTCTCTCGTCTACTCACTCCTGTGGGTCCCTCCGACCAACGGTCCAAACCTTTTCGTCCCACAGCCACTTCCTAAGGGCAGAGGGCTTCCTCTCTAAGGTCAAGGCCATCGCACGGAACTGACTTCCTGCCTCTACGCGCTTCTCTGAACTTGCACTCGCCCTGTCTCCTCTGTGGTACAGACAGAGCATCCTTCCTGCCCCGCCCCTGGCTCCCCGACCACCTTCCGCAGGGACCCTGCTCCTCCGGAGCGGCTTTGGCTTTGCGAGGCAGGACCTGCAGCTGCGTCCCCCACCCTCCTGGGCGGTGATCGGCCTGGAGGTGACAGGGCTCAGCCTGCACACTCTCAGGGCACAGGCTGTGCCGACATGTGGCCACAGGAGAGCGCGCTGTCCCCAGTTGCACCTCTGGCCCTGCTTCCTGAGCTGACGGTGACCGCCTTCCTGTGCCCACGGCAGAGAAGTGGGAAGTTCTATCTGCCCGGCTCCAGCCTCCTGCTCTCACGGGGGCATCTCCTCCTGTTAAAGCGAAGGCCCGGCCCCTCCTCACCGCCACTTTCTCGGGGGCAGTCAGATCAGAGCTGTTTACTTCCGGAGAAGCCAGGAGGACCCGGCCCCTCCCGCAGCTCATCGGGGCCTCTGATCCTCTGCATTAAAGCCAGTGCATTCGCGTCACACAGGAAAGTGAATGCTTTACCTGAAGAGCAACAACTGCCCAGGTCAGCCGGTTGTAGCCCTGGAAAAACCCGTTCTGTGACACCAGCTCTCCGTCGTACACGTACACGCCCATCAAGCCAAACACGCTCCCGAAGAAGCCTGCAAGACGGGAGTTTACGTCAGCTCAGCTGTCGGAGATGTCTGGCCATTGCACATAACTTCATACTTTTCTTTTAAATTGTTTACTTGGACATTAATGTAAATTTAACAAAAGTGCGCTTAGTGCTATGAATATAAGAGGAAGACATGGGAACAGAAAAAGAGCAGTGGTGATGGACCTAAATCTTAGAGCATTAACACAGATAATGCAGAAATCACATGGCTGCACGGCTGCCCTTCGAAGAGTTGTAAAATGCTCGCTTTAGACATGTCAGTGCATCTGTGCCTTCCTGCAGCCAGACACAGACGTATTCACACGCACTTGCAGACATACAAGCTCATGTGTGTGGCCTGCACTCTTCCTTCCTTCTCAGGAAGCTGGAAGGGTCAGTAAGTAACCACAGAAAATCAGCGCTGAGACGCAGTCGCGGGCCTCGCTGCCGAGGCCTCGGGAGGGAAGGTCACTCAGGACAGCAGGTGCCTCACTCACTGCGCCCCCCCCTCCCTGCCCCCCCCACCCCCCGCAGAGCTGCCCAGGACCTGATCTCGGAGGTCCCCAAACCTCCTCGGGGAGTGGAGTTCAGGGGCACACGGGCACCCTCAGGGCATCTGTAAGGAATGAGCCCTGGGTGAGGGCAGCAGTGTTGATAAAGCCGTAAGTAGCCACCGTGTTCCACGGGAAGGGATGGGGGGAGGGGAAACCATCTTTCCAAAATTGCATTTTGCCAACTCCATCCTTCTAACATCTCTCATTTCGAACGCGAAGATAACACTGGCATGCTACAAAACGACAGAAATCAGCGCTCGCACAGGTACGGCCTTGTGTTAGAATCACACTGGGTAATTACTAAAGTGCATCAAATGCAGAAGGGTACATCTGCAGCAGTACGTGCAGATCTGCAGTCTTCTATCCGTTGCATAGTTGCCCACTGTATGAACAATAACATGAAATGCACATATAACACGAATTGTCCTGGGTGATTTACGCGTGTGAACTCACAACAAACCTACGTGGTAGAGAGTCTTGTCCATTTTACAGCTGGAGAAACTGGGCCACAGAGATGCTAAATAAACCTGCTGAGCTCATGCGGCAGCTAAGGGACGGGCTCAGGACTGGGTCCCTGCCTCGGCCTGGAGACACGACCTTGACCACTGCACTAGCTGACCCCCTGACAATTACTAACCAGCCTTCTCCACTGTCCATCTTACAAAGGAACCAATGCTGAATGAACAGCCTGTCTTCCCGGTCTTGTGCAAGCCCAGCTGTGGCATCAATTCTCCGCCAGACGTGGAGTTTTACATCACTGACTTTATTTATTTAAAATGTTGTGAAACACTCCCAAACTGGGATCCAACAGGTTATACCAATCTGCGTGTTTGGAAAAGGCTACAGTGCTTTCATTCATGGTTTGTAATTCCAAGCTCTGTACTGATCTACGTGTCCTTTCAAGACCTCAGCCAGCTCACCACTGGATTGTGTGTGAGGTCAGAGCAATGAACAGAAATCCATGAAGTTCCACAGAATCATCCATTCGGAATGATTTCCATGTTTCGTTTATAATTCAAGAAAATTGTGGGCAACTCACACAAACCATGACTCTTCCTCTCTCCTGATATTTGCATGTTGATGGCAGCAGCTGATATCAGGGCCTACTGTGTGCAAGGTGTTTATCCCCAACTCTTCACATGTGTTATCTCATCTAATCCTCAGAGCAACATACAAAGCTCTGTAAGTACAGTTTACAGGAGAGGAACTATATATGTTTTGGCAACATCTTCCGGGAAAAACGCAGCCACATTCAGGCCCCAAACGCTGAGGACAGAATCAGCCTCCACCCACCCTACGTCACAGACCTCAAATCCCACATTCCTGAGTAAAAGGCAGTCATTTAAAGCACAACCTTTTTAAAGGGCCAAAACCTTGCCAGGTACTTGGATCAACAGCAGTTTCATGAAAGGCTTGTTTACTTGAAGATCTATAGAAATCTTTAGATGTAACAATATAACCACCTTAAAAAGTCACATCAGCAAAGACTTCAGACTTACCCAGTTGAATGTTTCTGATCCACACCGACTGCTTGGTTTCTTTTAAGATTTTCTCGAAGTACACCCCAGCGAAGCCACTGGAAAAGCAGGCCGTGAGGACGGCCATGAGGCCCACGAACTGCGAGCCGGCCGAGAGCGCCTTCGAGTCCAGCTCCTGGGTATCCGAGGGCCACTGGGCGAAGGAACACAACGCAGTTCAATTCCTGCGCAGCTCCCCGTGCACAGAGCCCCGCTCAGACCCGGAGGCGAAAATGCCACCACGCTAGCCCTGGGGGCTGCAGAGGAGCTTCTGAAAGACAACCTTAGAACCGTCTTACTTCACCCCACAGCGGTATGACTGTGGCGACTTCTAGTCTCAGCCTAGCCCAGTGGTCGGCAAACTCATTAGTCAACAGAGCCGAATATCAACAGTACAACGATTGAAATTTCTTTTGAGAGCCAAATTTTTTAAACTTAAACTATATAGGTAGGTACATTGTTATTAACTTAATTAGGGTACTCCTAAGGCTTAGGAAGAACCACACTCAAGGGGCCAAAGAGCCGCATGTGGCTCGCGAGCCGCAGTTTGCCGACCATTGGCCTAGCCTGAGAGAGAGAAAGGGACGGACTGCGGCGGCTCAGAGTGGCCTCTCCAAGCACCGCAGCCGCTGAGACCTGGAGTGTGAAGTGTGGAGTAGCTAAGGGAGCCTGGGGCTGCCCTGCACCCCGGCCCTGCCCTGCACCCCGGCCCTGCCCTGCACCCCAGCCCTCACCCAGGCTGGCCACATCCCCATGGGGTGAGGGTCCCCACTGGGGGGCTTGGCCAGCCTGTAAACAGCCATCAGCCCCTCACCCAGGCTGGCCAGGCACCCCAGTAGGGACCCCCACCCTGAAGGGGGTGTGGCAAGCCTGAAAACGGCCCTCAGCCCTTCACCCAGGCTGGTCAGGCACCCCAGCGGGACCTCCACTCTGATCCGGGACACCCTTCAGGGCAAACCAGCCAGCCCCCACCCATGCACCAGGCATATAATAAAAGGGTAATATGCAAATTGACCCTAACAGCAGAACGACTGGGAATGAGTGGTCACTATGTCACACACTGACCACCAGGGGGCAGACGCTCAATGCAGGAGCTGCCCCCTGGTGGTCAGTGTACTCCCACAGGGGGAGCTCTGCTCAGCCACAAGCCAGGCTGACGGCTACCAGCACAGCGGTGGTGGTGGGAGCCTCTCCAGCCTCCTCAGCAGCACTAAGGATGTCCGACTGCAGCTTAGGCCTGCTCCCCGCTGGCAAGTGGACATCCCCCGAGGGCTCCCGGGCTGCCAGAGGGATGTCTGATTGCCAGCTTAAGCCTGATCCCCCGGGGAGCAGGCCTAAGCCAGCAGGTGGACACCCCCCGAGGGGGTCCCAGACTGCGAGAGGGCACAGGCCGGGCTGAGGGACCCCCCTGAGTGCACAGATTTTTGTGCACCGGGCCTCTAGTTTAAAATAAATACGGAAAAGATTTATCCAAGGCACACACTACACTCTGGGAAAGTGCTGCGGGGCCTCTGAGTGGCAGGAACGCGACAGGGTTGGATTTGTTCTTAGACCACGACGGTGACTGCGTGGAGGCTGAATTTGGGGGGCGGGTAGGACTGAAGGGGAAAACATCCTTTTCACCCGACAATGACAGTACTTTTATAGAGCCAAACGGCCACAGGAGAAACAGAGGCAGGAGCGGGGCAGCGAGGTGCAGACAGGCAGGACACAACCTGGGAGAACGAGCGGCAGAGCAGCGAGGTCTTACTGGACGTCCGGGCAGAAGGGAGAGGCCAGGCCCACCCCAGGCTGAGAAAGAGTGACTGGCAGAAACAGAGACAGGAGCGGGGGCGGGAGGTCAAGTTCGTTTATCAGGCCAATTGAAGAGCCCAGCCAAGCTGCCCAGCAGGGGTTAGATACACAAATCTGACAACGCGGGCGACAACCAGAGCTGCCGGCCGCGAGCCAGGAGCCTCCAGCACAGCGTGCCAACAAAAGGCTCCACATGGTGGCATCTCCACAGATAAGGACATAACTAAGGAAATCACAAGCCGACCGAGGACCAGGTCCCCAAGGCAGTCTCCAGCAAGAGGACCCGGAGGAAACCCGTGAGGAGCCGTGAGAAAGAGGAGCGAAGAGTGGAAGGAATGGTCTGGGGCGCTGGTGGCGGGAGGGAGTGTCCGTCACCTCGATGCTCCTGGGACCCGCTAGCAATTAGCTTCCCTCCACACAGCAGTGTCCTAGTCCCTAACTAGCTGGTCCACTTCTTCGCGTGAGACCACTGGGTTTTCACATGTTTCTTAGCACCAGGCACAGCCCCAATGTATCACCCACAGGCAGCTCTCAAAAGTCTCAGCGGGGAGGATAAGCATCGATTTGCTTCACTAGACAGCAGAGCCACCTGTCCTTGCGCAGCAGACAAGGCTGTGGAACTGCGACAGTGACAGGTGTGCCTATCTTGAACAGGTACCTGTACAAAAGCCACTCCGGCCATCAGAATCACCAGGGAGAGCCACTGGTACACACCCAGCTTTTTACCCAGCATAGACACAGAGAACAGCGCCGTCGTCAGGATCTTCAACTGATACGTGACCTGGAAGAGGAAACAGCGAACGTGAGTCCTGGCCGAGGGTCCGCTGGTTACAAGGACCCCGAGGAATGCCCCTCCGGTACCTGGTAGGTGGCTGCGTCGAGATTGGACAGCGCCACGTAGAGCAGGTTGTTCTGAAGAGTGTATATCCCGGATGGAATAGCAAGTTTGATCGTTTCCATGGGCTTGTTAAGGATCTCATCCCGCAGGATTCGATTCAGTGCTCTCAGACTACATTCTAGGAAAAACATGCCGTGGTGAAATCAGGCACCGAGTGACGCTGAATACTGAGCACCCTCTCTCTAGGCCTCAGTGTTCTCTCTTGTGAAGAAGGATATTGGGCTACATGTTAAGGCACTTTAGGTCTAAACTATACCTTTAATGAGGCTAATTTTTCAAATGTTAAATATTATCAGGAAGCATATTAAGAACAGCACGATCCGTATATCCTTCTACTCGGAGCCCTGGCCCATGTGGCTCAGTGGGGTGCTGTCCCGTGCACAGAAAGGTTGCCCCTTCCATTCACCATCAGGGCATGTGCTGGGTTTCGGTTTCCATCCCGGTAGGGGGCGTGCAGGAGGGAGCCGATAGATGTTTTGCTCTCACATCGATGTTCTTTCTCTCCCTCTCCCATCCTCTCTCTAAAAATCAATTTAAAAAAAAAATCTTTAAAAAAAAAGGCCATCTTGCCCTAACCGGTTTGGCTCAGTGGATAGAGCGTTGGCCTGCAGACTGAAAGGTCCCAGGTTTGATTCCTGTCAAGGGCATGTAGCTTGGTTGCGGGCACATCCCCAGTAGGGGGCGTGCAGGAGGCAGCTGATTGATGTTTCTCTCTCATCGATATTTCTAACTCTCTGTCCCTCTCCTTTCCTCTCTGTGAAAAATCAATAAAATATATTAAAAAAAAAAAAAGGCCGTCTTAATAAAATGACAAATATTGAAATGTTCTTAATATACTAGGGCAGTGGTCAGCAAACTGCGGCTCACGAGCCACATGCGGCTCTTTGGCCCCTTGAGTGTGGCTCTTCCTAAGCCTTAGGAGTACCCTAATTAAGTTAATAACAATGTACCTACCTATTTAGTTTAAGTTTAAAAAATTTGGCTCTCAAAAGAAATTTCAATCGTTGTACTGTTGATATTTGGCTCTGCTGACTAATGAATTTGCCGACCACTGACCTAGGATATTAGGTAATGCAGTAGTGTTCAGATGTGTAGTTACCAACATATATTTACGTATATGTCATATATAAATAATACCAAACAATTAAGTAAATTTCAATGACTTACAAACAACAACCTGGATACCTACGGCTGTCTTTGTAGACTAACACAATGCAGGCCATTATCTTCAGAATCTCCGCCACCACCACGGCCGTGGAGGACAGGTACCGAGGCCCCTCCTCCTTGAAAGTCCTGGAGTAGCGCATCGTGAGCACCAGGCTGGTCGTCTGAAAGACCAGGATCCCCAAGGAAAGGTATTTGAGGTTGGCAGACATGGTTTTATCTGCATCTGCCTGAAAAACAAAATAAACAGGGCAAATAAACAAATTAGAAAAGACATCAACTGATACATTAAAAAGCCAGTAAGAGCCATCAGGCCTCAAACAAGATGGAGTATGTACGTTCCACCCCCTTCCTTCTGCTCTGGACCGGACACTAAAGCCAGTATCCGGAGACGCTGGAAGGTGAAGAGAAGAGGACAAGCTGGCCAGAGACCTCGCAGGAGACCAGCCTCCTCAGAAAGGGGCAGGCATACCTTGTCGCTGGAATCCATGGCAGTCCTGGGGAAACCCCCCAATCTTATTTCTTATAAAAGTGCAATAAATGAGTCAGGTAATTTACACTATTGGGATATTCAATTTTCTTTCTATGATGGAAACGAAAACTTCCACGAACTCAGTTCCCTCATAAGTGCTCAGAGAAAAGTGTAAGCCTGCCCAACACCACGCCCAGCCCTAATCTTTACGGATTTCCGGTCCCTAGAACCATCTGAATTAGACAACTTTCCATTGTTTCTCCTTCCCTTTCTTCCTCCAGGTGTCAGGTGACTGTTTATATGCCATAATGTCAACTTTCTGTGAGTTAATTTTTACCTTGGTTTTCTACAGTCTGCAGAATCTGCATCACACATTCAGGTAAAATCAATATTCCTTCAGCTATATAAATATATCATACGTACATTTTCATTTTTAGATTAAAAAGTGCTCGGTTGTACTCTTTCCGTCCAGCCAACGATTGGGAAGACAAACTGTCGTAGGGACCCTCACCCACCTGTCTCTCCTGCCCACCTGTCTCTCCCGCCCACCACTTCCCACTGGTTTCCTGCCACGCAGCCCAAGGCAGCAGCTCCCCGTGTCCCGCAAAGAGCAGGCGGGGTGGAGACGCGGGTGGGCCCTCGAGCACCGGCTCGGGCTGAGGAGACGGGGGCGGCAGGACACAGTAGAGATTCACACCTGCCACCCGCATTTCATAGGCACTTCCTGCGGATACACAACCATGAACGAGACACACAGGATCTGTTTCTTCCTGGGCGCATCCTCCAGCATGAAAGACGCGCGTCACTCAAATAATTCCAGAAAGAGTCTGGCCAGGTCACAAGGCAGCAGGACAATAGCACAGGGAACTATGGCACCTCGTATTCAATTATGCCCACGTGGCTAAACTCAAACACATTTGCCACGCCCTCCAGGTGGTGCCAGGTGAGGACGGGCATAAGGTTGAGGGCAGGCGTGCGGGAGGCCGGGACTCCAGGAGGCTCTCACGCTGAGTGTGTGCAGGTTCCGGGGCCCTCGTCCTGCTCCGGCAGCTCTCCGTGACTCTATTCTCTGAGGTCAGCCCAGCGGCATTACCGTGAGCTTCTGGACCCCAGGACCGAGCGCGCAGACTTGGGGTGCCCTTGCTCGTTAGCGGGCTGAAGCCTAACTTAGGCCACCCGTTCACATTGACCTTAAACTTGCATGTTTATAAACTTCTGCTTTTCTCTAGGTAATCTGTCTTTTATTATAGGGGTCTCAGCTAAGAACTTAGAGGAGCAGAGAGAAAATTACTTTCCTCCTCCTACAGGAGTGAGAGTAACTATACTATCTCAAAAACTGACCTCTAGGAGTAAATGAAGGACTAAAACATGGAATGGAAAAGCGCTTCCAAGTAAAGGTTGTTAATGAAAGTCTGAAGCCAGGTTACACCACAACACAGGAGTACCCTTCCTCCGGGAGCACGACCAGCGTTTGACTGTCTCATTCTATGATTTAATGAACAATTATTTATTGAGTCTAATATCTTTAATGCTGTCCTCAAGTGTGAAAGTGCTAAAGAAATTTAAAAGATATAATTACTTCTCTTAAAAAGCTTATGTTCTAGCTCGGCCAGCGTGGCTCAGTGGTTGAGCATCGACCTATGAACCAGGAGGTCACAGTTCAACTCCCGGTCAGGGCACATGCCCGGGTTGGGGGCTTGATCCCCAGTGTGGGGTCTGCAGGAGGCAGCAGATCAATGACTCTCTCTCATCATTGATGTTTCTACCTCTCCCTCTCCCTTCCTCTCTGAAATCAATAAACAACAAAACCGCTTATATTCTCGTAGGGAAAAGTTCCTCAAATAACCATAGCACAATGCAAACTTCACAAGTGTAAGACTCATCAAGCCGGACACACAAGAGAAGAATGTGTTGGACTAGTGGTCGCCTTCAGAGAGCGGATGAGAAGGGGTGGCACTCAAGGCCTCGAAGGACAAGCAGAGTTTCCGCAAGGACAGCAGGTGCGGGAGGCGGCCTAGCAGGGAGGGAGGGTGTCGGGCCGGCCAAGGCAGGGGGGCGCAGGCTCGGAAATGACATTTCAAAGCAACCACCCCAGTCGGGCTAACACTGAGGCCCTGCGAGGGAAAACAATTTAACCCAAAAGAGAAAGGGACACATTGATCTGATGGAGCCGTGACAGCTCCCAGCTTTGAAGGCCGCCCTGATGATGTGGAATTATTCACTGCGGGGACAGCAGTGACCAGAGGAGGCCT